GATCTACTGCATTGCTATAGAACAGTGATGGCGAACCTTTTTGAGCCCGAGTGCCCAAACCGCAATACATGCCAACTTTTTTTCTCCTTAAAGTGCCAACATGGCAATTAAACCCAAATACTGAGGTTTAAGTTTAGAAAAAAACAACTCGTACTGTTGTCCGAACTAATAACTTTTGTTTTAAAAGAACACAGAGAGTTCAATGATACAAATTTTAAATAATGATATAAATAGATAAAATTAAGCTTATATTTATTAGTATCTCCAACAAATGCAATACATATACACACAGACTGCTGAATACACACACACACACACAAGACTGCTGAATACAGACTGCTGAGTACACACACACACACAGACTGCTGAGTACACACAGACACAGACTGCTGAGTACACACACACACACACAGACTGCTGAGTACACACACACAGTCCGCTGAGTACACGCAAACAAACACAGACTGCTGAATACACGCACACACACACAGACTGCTGAATACACGCACACACACACACTGCTGCATACACACATACTGCATTGAGGGGGGGGGTGCTTGTGTGGGGGGAGCGTGTGTGTGAGTGTTGTATGTGAGGGGTGTTATGTGTATGTGAGGGCTGCTGTGTGTGTGAGGGGTGCTGTCTGTGTGTGTGGGGGGGGGTGCTGTGTGTGTGGGGGGGTGCTGTGTGTGTGTGCTGTATGTGTAATGGTGCTGGGGGGATAGGATACTGCTGGGGGTAGGGGTACTGCTGGGGGTAGGGGGCACTGTGTGTGGGGGGCTGGGGCACTGCTGGGGCAGGAGTACTGCTGGGGGTAGGGTACTGTGTGTGTGTGTGTGGGGTAGGAGTACTGCTGGGGAGTAGGGGCACGGCACTGTGTGTGGGGGGGTAGGAGTACTGCTGAGGGGTAGGGGTACCGCTGGGGTAGTAGGGGTACTGCTGAGGGTAGGCTGGGGATAGGGATACCGGGGTTAGGGCACTGCTGGGGGTAGGGCACTGCTGGGGGTAGGGGTACTTGTGGGGGTTGGGGTACTGTGTGTGGGGTTGGGTACTGGTTGGGGGCAGGGGTACTGCTTGGGGGTAGGGGTACTGCTGGGGGTGTAGGGGTACTGCTGTGGGGGGTGGGGGTACTGTGTGTGGGGGGTAGGGGTCCTGCTGGGAGGGTAGGGGTACTGTGTGTGGGGGGGTAGGGGTACTGCTGGGGGGTAAGGATACTTCTGGGGGGGTAAGGGTGCTGTGTATCAGTATACCCCCCCTCCCTCCTTCTTACCTTTAATGAAGTGGGGGGGGGGACACAGCCATCCCTGGTGGTCCGGTGGTGGTAAGCACTGCAGGGGGAGGGATCTGTGATGCAGCTCCCCTGTCCTCCCGCGCAATGCTATGTGGAGCATTGCCATGGCAACGCTCCACACAGCATCACGCAGGAGGACAGGGGAGCTGCTTCCTAGAGCCCTCCCCCTGCCTCCCGACCCGGAAACAGAGTAGGCGCCTGCCGTTTTGGGCAGGCAGGTGCCTACTCTGCAGTGATGGCGAACCTGTGCCCACAGAAATGGCCCGGCGTGCCACCTGTGGCACGCGTGCCATAGGTTCGCCATCACTGCCCTAGGCTCTCTAATGAAAAACCTCAGACTGAAATCACTGCACAAATAATTACACACACATATTATATATATATATATATATATATATATATATATATATATATATATATATATATATATATACACATACATATATACACACACACACACACATATATACACACACACATATACACACATATACACACACACACACACACACACACACACACACTCTATCAGTTATCGTTGCAGCTGCCCATGGCTTACTGACCAGAGAAGCAGGCAGCTGCTGGTAAGTACAAGAGGCACTGAACAACATTTCCCGGTCAAGGCAGCACTGACAACAAGGTTATTATAACTAACTCCCCTATAACTAACTCCCTTTGCAAAGGAAACCAATCAAACTTTAACTACTATAAATACCATAGCTTGATCAATGGCAGTTTTTCCTGCAATGGGGTATCTCTAACCTTACAATTCTTTTGGTCTGTCTTAGAATTTGTTTTGGTTCCTTGACCCAGAAGAGTTCAAATTCTCTCCTCTGGATGCTGTGGGACATGACAGCTCACCAAGGGCCAACCCTTGCAGGCCCACAGTGACTGGGGGCTGGTGCTGCAGTGTCCTGCTAGAATACTTAAGGTTGCGGGGGTGGAGAATTGTTCATGGAAGTCAGATTGTGCAGTTCTCTCATTCTGGAAGGCTTCACACTGCATTTTTGGCTGCCTTCTCTAGTGCCTGGTCTTTTCTGCTTTAAAAAAGGTTCACAGTATCCTTTTAAGGTTCAACTTTTTATCAAGACAATTTTAAAAATCAATGATTATTTTGCACATAGGCTTGTATGAATGATTTTGTATCTATCCCGGGCTCATGTTTCCCCATCACGTACTAAAAATAGGTTGCATTCCAGAAATAGACAAGACATTCCTAATTTTTTTTTATTTTTTTTTAAAGAAACCAAAAGTACATTCTATACACATACATTGAGTTCTGGGTGTGGGCTGATATCCTTGTGTCAACAGCTCACACAGAACACCTTCAGGATCTATGCCTATCCTGCTTGAATTTCATTGATGCTCCAGAAAAATGTCATTCTTCCAAATGGAATCTCTCTCATACCAAGTGGTCTCAGAGGACTGGATGGTATCTGAATTTAAAGCATGCCTAATTTCACATTCCAATTGCCAGACAGATTCCTCGTCGGGGAAGACATCTTGTGTTCCAGCCCATAACTTTTTGACACCACAAAGATCCTAGTGCCAATCATCGAAGAGAGACTTAAAGGAGCCCAGATATTTCATTATCTAGATGATGTGCTCATCCTAGTAAGAGATCCAGGTCACTGCTTCAGAGATCTGGCACCATAGATTCTGCAGAAGTTGGAAGAAAAGCCAGTTTTCTGCTTCTCAGGTCGTGACCTACCTGTGGGCCCTGTTCAATGCCAGAATAGGGATGTTGAGGTTGTCCTCTTAAAGAGGTGTTAGATTGAAAAGGAAAGAAAAATAACCTGAATTCCTAAATCATTGGAAGCAAACCTGGGGCCTCATTACATCTAGTGGCCGTAGTCCACTTCAGAAACAGCGAATATCTTAGAACGGAATGTCTTAAGCTTTTTGTCTAAAATCCAAGGTGATGTGCTAGTGGGTCATCCAATCTGACAACACTAGGTGGTAGCCTACAAACACCAAGGAGTTACCAGGAGCAGGAAGATTGATTTGGAGTAGCTCATGACCTGGATTCAAGCACCTTCTACGTTTCTCAGACATTCATCTCAAAGGGCTGAACAAGTTTCCATCCTCAAGCAGAAACTACAGATGCACTATTTACAAGGAACTTCCAGAAGGCATATGCTTTTCTTCTGTTCCCCTTGATATTCAAACTTCTTTGGAAAATTCATCAGGAATAAAAAGGAGGTTCTAACATCCTATTTTGACTCGGGAGGCCTTGATTTCCACTTTTGTAATTAATTTGCAGGATGACCTGACACTCCTATCCTAATATTCTCTATACCATTCGTCCCTACAAGCCTTACAACTGACAGCCTGGTGATTGAGAAGGGAAGATTGTAGAATAGTAAGAATTACTTCCTCGTAGAATCCCTACTCCTTCAGACAAGAAAGATGTACACTTTATCTTCTCTAGATCAAGAGGTATCCTCTTTATCTTCCTCATCCAAGGAGCTACTGCAGTTCCTCCAGGAAGGTTTTGAAAAGAGCCACAATATGAGTATTCTGAAGGTGCAAAGTTCTGCTTTATTGGCTCTATGGAATATACTGGGCTTTAATCCAGACATCATTTGGTTGGATATACAGGATTGCTTTCAGGAACATATCAAATCTACCTCACCACTGGAACCTGCGTTTAGTTCTCAGCTTTGCAATCCATGTCTTTAGCAATTAGAATCATTTTAACACAAGCTGGTAGCAGGGTCTACAGGTAGAAGAATATCAAACTTAGTGGCCCTGTCAGGTGAGCAGCAAGATCACGCCTTTTTTCAGGATAACGTGGTGCTTCGAACAGTACAACAGTTCCACCCCAATGTAACATCCAGCTTCCTTCTAAATCTGATTATTCCTCCTATCTTCTTTCTCCATCAGAAGAGGTTTCTTACATAACCTGAATATAATGGTAATCGTATGCCTAAAAGCTTACATCAGGTGAACCAAGGCAGAGCAGAGTTATTCCAACCGGTCATAAAGGAGATGAATTTCTGTGAAAGCCACTGCTTGTGGGTGGCTAATAGGATCCTCAGCTGCCATGCAAATCATATGATGCTTTGCCAGCTGTGGATCTGCTATTTACCTATTCTTGCACAGTTCGATCTGTGAATGTTTATTTTTATTTAATGCTGATGTTTAAATGGGCCTGTTTGTGTGCAGTGTTGGCATGTAAATGCAGGGGAGTGTAGTGTTAATGTCTGAATGCAAGGGAGTGTTTGTGATGTTGGCATGTGAATGTAGAGGTGTATTTGTATTGGCGTTTGCATGCAGAACTATTTCTGTGCACAGTGTTGGCATTTTAATGCAGGGGTGTGTGTGTAATATTGGTGATTGCATATGTATTTGTGAAAACACATTTACATGTACTGTCCCACACATACAGGAGCACACACAGATGCCCAGACATTTATTCACAGATTTACACGTACACCATTCGATTGACATATACTGACATGTATGCACAAATTCACACACAGATCAAGAAACAATGACACACATGCACCAATACATACACAAATACTGACACGGTCTACAATACTCATACATAGAAATGATAGATACAAAACTGGTCAGCTGAGTTGCGCACACAGCTATGATCAAAGTGCAGCCTCAAAGACTTATTTATTAAAGTTTGAATTATGGCCAGCCACCCCAACATTAAACTGGCTAAATTTGTGAATTGCAAGGCTGCAGATATATACTACCTGGGAGAGAGAAATTGGAATGTATAAGAGTACCACAACAACTAATACAGCTACTATATACCAGTGCAAGAACAAGGCTGCTGTAAAACATCTTGCCAGTACACCAACCAGACTGACTTTAGTATTTCATGAAAAGATGTTTTGTAATGGTTTTATTCATTGAATTTAAAGGGATACTCCATAAAGATACGTATCCCGCACACTTTCAAATCTTCCCCAAGCCAAAAATCCTTTAAGAGGTCCCTTTCTACATACCTCAAAACAGAATGCACCGGTCATGATTGATTATATATTTCCTACCTGTTCTATGATAAGTTAGTATATATTTTGTATTAATATTGTTTTTTGTATTTTATTATACCCTAATGCAATGTTTTGTGGACCCAGGACATACTTGAAAATGAGAGATCTCAATGTATATTTCCTGGTAAAATATTTTATAAATATATTCAAACCAATGTTAAGTGAAATACTGTAATACCTACATACCTGCAAGCACACACACCCCAACACACTCACTTACCTAGCCCCAGGAGCTACACAATCTAACATTGAAGCTGGGGGCAGCTATGCGTGTGAAACAATCACTAAAACCCCATCATAAAGCAATCAGTGACCTTGCCCCCAATACATTTAAAGACATAAGCTCACTCCCTGCAGACAGTGTCCGGATCCATCACTCACTGCTGGCCAACGTTTAGCACTCCAGCTCTTGCGGAATATTTGCTGATGGTGCTCAGCTATTCTGCCCATTGGCTGCCTCGGCATCATAAGATATAGGGTCCACAACAACTGGAGTGTGATTAGGTAAATACAGAGTCTTTTGCAACCCCTAACCCCATCCCAGAGCAGACAGCAACCCACAAGTTACCTGCAGTCAGTGGATGCTTTCTCCGGGCCCCTGTGAGCAGCCTGCCAGCTCTCTACATGGGAGGAATGTTACATTGTAACAGTAGGGGTCGGAAGGGCAGCCAGGTCCCCTGCAGTCACTAGCCCAGTCGCACCTGCAACCCTGTTAGTTCCGCCACTGGTTATCCACCCTACAAACACCTCCAAATGCAATAAAAGCCAAGTTAAAAAAAAAAAAGCCAAAAATAAATAAAATAAACGCACTCAAAGAAAGAATGTAAAATGATTTTGAATTTCTCATCAAGGGCAGTAAATTATATTTAAAAGAGAGCTCAGAAAATTCAAGAATGTTGCATGGCAATGTTGATTCTCTGTCCAAAGATCTTGGGCAACTAGGTCTAGACAGAGTCATCGTCCTTGAGAGCTCAAGTTTTAAGTATCCCATGTGATTCTTTTAATGGAAAACCTCTAGACACATTCTCTCTCCTTAACCACCAGGTAAGATGTAACTTTACTGTTGGAGAGTTCCAATCCATCTTCAGCTGGCCTAAGAATGAACTCTGGGATTCTGATATGCCACTGGGCCATATGACAAGACAGATGGTGGATGCTCATTTGCCCAGGAGTTGCATATATTTACTTTCCATTACTACGTGTAATTGCAAAAACTGGAGATAAAGCTCAGTAGCCTGTGGATCCTTTCCAGAGATGGTGACATTGTGTCTGATGGTGTTGGAATCATTACAAAATTTCATCCTTTGAGCTGGTATGAGACTACTCTTCTAGAGAGTTATTAACAAGCCAAACTGAGTTCTGCTGGCACTAGGTATTTTTGTACTCTTGCCCTCTGGGATCTAAAGGCATCAGTAGTAGATTGCCTAGGGAGTGACAAAGTGATGTTCTGCATCCTTGCTATGAGAATCAACCAGTGAAAATGTTCTGGGCGCTATACTGAGGTCAAATTGTAAGGGTTGAATAAATATAAATTGTGTTCTATTGCAAATCTGAAGAAACATGGTCCTGGGCTATTGGGATGTGGTAGAATGCATCCCTGAGGTCTACACACCATGAAATTGTTCCTCAGAATTGCTTGAGAGTTCGCTTTGATGGACGTCATCCTTAAAGCTTTGATGTTTAGACTTTTGTTGACCATTCTTAGGTCTAGGATTGAACTGTTCTGTATTTAGAGGGATAAATAATGTCCCTGGAACCTCTTCTTATGGAACTGGGATAACGACCCTCTCTTATACGATTCAGATACATAATCCCACAATGCTCTTTTGGGCTTGTCTGTCGGGATCCAAGTTGACATAAGGAAGTTGCCTCTTGGCCTTTGAAGAAATGCTAGCTTGTATCCAGTCTGAATTATGGAGAGCTAGCAAGTTTCCTGAATATGACAAGCCCAGGTGTCTGAAGAGAGAAAGTTTGTCTCCTACCTTGGCGGATAGAAGTTCTTTCCTAAAGGACAAAATCACAGATTTTTAGGCTGGTTAGAAGGATGGTTGACCACCTTGCCACGGGTGGCTTCTCCCGTATTCCCTGCCAGGTTGGAAGTTTCATGTATCATGTAAATATTGGCCTCTGGAAGCTCTTCTGTCTGACCATGAGGTGCCAGGTTTCTTGCATCTCGTCCTGGGGTTAAGAGACCTTGCAGCCTCAGCTGCTTTCTTTATAGATTATTCTAAGGTCTTTCTGAAAAGCAGTTTCTCCCTCAATGGAAATTGTGCATAAGTTTGACATGGAGGAGTCAGCACCCAAGTAACGCAGCCATTAAGCTCTTCTAACTGCTACGGACAAGGCCATGGTACGTGAAAAAGATTCTAGTAATATTTATGAATGCTTCTGTGAATAATTCAGTTGCCACACATAGATCCCAAATTTGGATCCTGCAGTAAGAGCTATTGCTGGATGGTATCCTGCTCTGGCAGCTTTATAAGTTTTGTTTAAAAAAAAAAAAAAAAAAAAAAAAAAAGTAACGAGTAAAACCAATCCCTGAAGACATCAAGTGGAA